AATCAGGGCTTCAACGGGATTCGAACCCGTGACCTCCGCGATACCGGTGCGATGCTCTACCAAATGAGCTATGAAGCCACACATTGGGAGCGAGGTCAGGCTTTAGGCTTCTTCAGGCTTCTTCTTTCCAATTGCTTAAATTGGAAAAATTTACTGCGATGATCATTCTTCACTTTCAATGTATTGGGGTATCAGTTACAAGTGTTTGTCATGGTTTCTTGTCCAGATGGAATTGAAGTAAATGTGGAGCTAGACTGCAGACTGTTGTGAACTCCAAACTGATACCCTTTTGTATGCCAGTTTTGGCAGGAAAGGTGGTCTTTTCGTTTACCTCCCATAGAAACAGGTAAACCCTTTTATGCACTAATTACATTAGAAATATTGCATCCCGTCTCCAAATGTTTTGCTTGAGGGACCCTTATTCTGCTTTGATGACTCAACTGTTAGGTGTGTTTATTCAATATATTTTGAGCGGCCTTCTGAAATGTCTAACTGGCAGTTTTTCCTACCGGCTTATGTACTTTAAACTCGTGAAATTCCTACCCTTTTGTTTAAGTTACCCCTTTGAGGCGGAACGTCCACTTATAATACGTTAGGTGGAGTATCCTCTGACTTTTAATTCCTACTAACCCATTACACCCCTTTTCGTACCACTTGCTTTGTAAGCAATGACAAATCTACCCTGGGTGCCACAGGTTTTTCTTGCGCGGTTTCCGGTGTCGGTCATGTCTCTAGCGAAGTTTCCGTCCGCCGCGCTAGAGAAAACCTGTGGTACCCAGTGTATGACAAATCACCACCAAATTTAAATTTCTTGACGAGGTTGTTTACGCACATCAAAGTTTGTTTCACAGGCTGGTGGTTAAACTTAAAACGTTTAAACAGCTAGATGAGTTATTTCCCGTTTTAATTTAGGTTGGCTGAACTTCTTGTGCACTAACATGGAAAAAACAAAAATATACACTCAGTTTTGAGGAAGTTCTAATATTTTGGCCACCAGAGCAATTATCTAACTACTTATTAAACTAGAGTGAGATCTTAACTGGAAAGCCACAAACCGAGTTTTGAGATTTTCCCGTAAAGACCGAATGTTCGAGGTTAATAAAAAAGCAAAAGCAAACTACAGGAAGCTGAATATTTATGGATATGGAGTTGATAGACACCATAAATTATTGATCGTATAGTTTTCAAGTCTTTTTTGTGCCATAATAAATTCTTAAATGTGAATCAAATTCCAACTAGCGAGCAGGTGAGAGCATTGATAGCCGGATCTGGGTGGGGTCTAGCTGATAGCTGGAACTGATCAAAATTTTAACCGTCAGCTGAGAAATAAAAGCGTTATTTTCTGATATCAACAAAATTTACTTTTAGCTGAGAAATAAGCTGAACGTTTCACTGATAGCTGAGAAATCGTCGAAAATTCAACCGATAATGGACATTTCAGCAACCTCACCCAGACCGCCATATAGAGGCTTTGCTTTATTCTTTTATTAGATAACTTTTCCACTGTCATTTTTTACAAAGAGGCAATTGAGTCATTACTACATTCAAGGTTGTTGATGCCACAAGTCGACCTTCGCCGGTTAGTCCTTCGTTTGCCGATCTTATCGCGAAGCGAAGCGAGAGGGCGATCTTCAAGCGACGAAGTCGCGAGTCCGAACGACTTAAGGTCGACTATTTCCAAAGGCGAAACCAACAGGGCAGGGAAGTAGTATTAGAGAGAACTTTTAGAAAGTCTAGGGGATGTTGTCTTTCAGGATAAGCGATTCCTACATAAACATGCACCATCATTACTGAACTATTTGACGGCTGGATCATCAGAGATTTGGCGCTTCAATTCATCGCAAGATAATCTCTTGTTCATTGTCAATCCCTCTCTTTCTCATTGTGTTACATTAGTAAGATTTTGCTTGCCGTTTACTATATGGCCTATAGTTGCTTGATGCGTGGTTGATGTTATATGGCTTCCCTTCTTCAAAAATGCTAATCTTGTATGACAGTACAGTTTTTTTTTCAATTACACTTATGTTTTTTGTTGAACATCACTTTTTCTTAGTGTGTCCATCGGTGACACCGAAACCACTTTACACAGCTGCTCGCACTCGGAAAACGGAAAAAATACCAATATTGTTACAGCTTTTCACTTTTTCCAGTTGTCATGGTAATTTTATTCGGCCTGCGACCTTTTAATCTGTTTTTTAACCAAACGAAACTCGATAAAATGCTGGATTTGTAAAGAGTGATTGAAACGTATCGGCGCAATTCGATAACATTTTCGCACTAGTTAAACCTGAAACAAACAAAGAACATTGCCGGCGATTGAACGGGTTGTGGGCGACAAAACAAAATTAAAATTTGCTCAATATTAACTGCTAATGGCTCCATTGTTCTAAGTGTACTGTGAATTGGCAATGTGAATGGCCTTAAAGAAAACTAATCCGGTGTCTTTGCCGAGCAGTATTACCATATCTAAACAGATCTTTACTTTTTCTGATTCCAAAATTTAACCTGTCATTTAACCACAAAAGACATGTCAAAAAATAAGTTTAAAAATTCATAAAGCGCCTTTGTGATTTTAGATTAAAATTTGCCAGCATTTTCCAGTATGGGATTTGAATCGTTTAGGCCGAACTACAAGCGTAGGGACCTTTCAATTCAATACAGTTTTCAAAAGATACACGACATATGAAACCTGCCAACGATTTGAATTAGAAGTGTTAAAATCTTTCTGTATAATTTCGTTTACAGGTGATGCCAAAATAGAATATCACTTTGGTGGACCACCGTGTAATTTGTAACGTTTTTCGGTGGCACAAAATGTCGAGTACGAGAGATAATTTTCAACTCTTTATTGCCCTGCCGTCGGATGATATCTGTACAGTCAAAGGATTATCTCGAGAAATGTTCATCTGCGAACTCAAATCCAGAGTGGAACTGAAAGCTGGTATCCCGGGAGACATTTTCAATTTGTACTTCATGAATGTGCGACTGTCTGACCAGGATTCTCTCAAAGTGTACAACCTCAAACATGGCTGTATTGTGAGGGTCAAGATAGAACAGAACTGGATTAGCCTCTTTGAAGCCTGCTGGCGCGGAGACATATACGACGTTTTCGAAAATGGAGTTCAATTTTTGGATGAAGAGAAGTTTCAAGGTTATAACATTTCTCTTTGGAATAAACTGGTTATTCAACGCGCCACCTTCGCTTTGTTTATTTCCTGCCACCGTGGTTACCTCGGTCTGATAATGGAACTTATTAACCGGGGAGCAACGGACATCAATGGCAAAACCGTTTTTGGACGAAGCGCGTTGCACGTGGCGGCTTATCAGGGTTTTGTGGGTTGTGTCTCTTTGTTGCTAGGCGAAGGCGCCATTTGTAATCAAATTGACATCCAGGGTAAAACTCCGCTCGCGTTAGCGAGCGAAAACGGCCATGTTTATTGCGAGAGAAGACTTTGGCTTTATCAGTGGAATTTGCAAACATTTCGTCGTCCGTCTTCGAGAAGCTCGAGCGGGGAATCAGCTGAAGCTACTGAAAATGAAGCAAGGTAAGAACTTTCTCTTTTCGATTGCTCGTGTGATCAAAGCGTGTTTGGGTGTCAGAAAAACTTGGCACGAAGACAATGCTTACGCTCCCAATTTGAACATTCTATAAAGCGCTATAATGATTAAGGCGCCAAAACGGCAATATAACTGGATGAGCACGATAGAAAAACTAATGAAATATGCCAAATTATCATTCTTTGAAGAGGATTAACAATTTGTGGATAATTGATCTTTTTCTGGCGGATTACTAGCATCTCATTGTTCGTTTCAAGACGATTCTGACGGGCGTATGATATTATACGAGGTACAAAATGCGTCATTTCAGATGTGCAAGTTAACTGTTAAGGGGAAACACTATCATGTGACACACGATTACGAGGCAAAATCTCCCCCGAAAAGTGATTGATCTTTGAAAGCCCTAGCTCTCTTGTGATCTTGCAGTTCTTGAAAGATTTCATAACTTCGGATAAGTTTTGCATGTTTCGTGACATGCATACGCAAAACAATAGCGTAAATACTGGCAAAAAGACGTCATCACAAATCACCACATAGAGAGATAACTAGGTGTAATGGCATTGTTCTTAAATAAGGAGAGGGGCTTAACGTGCACGCAATTTAGGCTAGAATGAAGTAGAGTCTCTGCGAACTTATGTAAAGAAGGTTTTGACCCCATAAAGAATAAGGAATAAATGTCTTACTCATCCAAGAGCTGATGCCCTTGTTGATTTATCTTTTTACCCAATTCCCGAAGTGTCCTACAGAAAACTTCAAAGCTAATTGAACTATTCTCAACATCAGTAAAAAAAAAATAAGAAAAACAAATAATGATTGTATAAGATTTACGATTTACGAAGATCCTTGTTCTGGCGTTCCCGATAGGGTGTCTTTTGAGAAACCTTTCTTTGTTTTTTCATTTCAGAAAAACTGGCAAATCTTCTCCGGAATCTGCTAAGTTACCATCCACTAGAAGAACACTCAAACAGCCTGATCAGAACAACAACGACAAACAGACTATGGTATTTCGTTTGGCTCTATTGTTTAACGTTAGGTTTCTAAACTTATAAACGTACTTGCGTCGCAATCAGGGGCGAATCCGAGATATTATAAAATAGGGATCTTAGACAGTTTTCATCCTGGCCGGGAACAATGTGTTGTGTTATTTGTGGGCAAAACACTTTACTCTCACAGTGCCTCTCTCCACCCAGGTAAATTTGATGGTTGAAGATAAACCTGCGATGGACTAGCATTCTATCCCGGGTAGGGTAGAGATACTCCTGGTCACTTCATGCTAAGGAAACGAGAGATAAGAACCGGCCTTATGGGCCACTTCGCTCGCATGCAGACCCTGTTTTTTGACCTAACAGTTTCTGCGACAACCTAAGGGGGTGGGCGTGGGATCTCTTTCATGCATTCTGGAAGCATTTGTGACGGAAAATGTAATCATGTAAGGCTCTGAATGGCAGATTTTGAATCTCGCAGACAAAGAAGGGAAGAGGGGCTCGTCCGTACCCCTGAATCCCCCCAAAGCCTTTCAATATCAGTCAGGTTTTAATCTCCACGATGATCAAGAGCGAACATCTCGTTATGACATGAATGTATGACATGAATTCAGGCGGTTGGGTCATGAGAGTGAAGAAACTGAACGAGTGCCAAGCGTGAGTTCTCTTTAGGTAATTAGGAAGAAACACACAGTGTTCATTTAGGAGATTTTCTCTGTTGATAACAGTCAAATCGTACAAATATACAATTTCCTGGAAATAACGCAATATGACGATTCTTCTTTCCTTCCTTCCATCTTTTCTTCTTTCCATTTCTTTCTTTACACCGCTCTAGAATCACTGTCGACATCACGTTAATTTTCCCATACTGATTGACAAGGATTTGAAACTGCAACGAGAGAGTATTGTTAATCACTAGTTGGAATTTAAGTAATATCCCTCTCTTTATTTACAGAGAAACGCTTCCCACAAGAGCTCACTTTGTTGTTTTCCTTCAGTCTCCCCAGGCAGTTCTTCTCCATCTTCCTCGCGTTACGAACAACGAGGACAAAACGTCACTGCGTCGAACAAAGAGCCACGAACGTCCTCGTTCCAATCCCTCACCTTTTCCCTTGATGCAAATCGCCGAGAAATACCGCAAGGAACTTCGGGAGTTAAACGGGGGCACGCTTCACCTACCGACGCATGCGCAAGGTGATTCCAAAGAGGACGTGGATAGTTCGACAGCGGAACCGCAAACACCACAGCTAAAGAAAACATGGAAAGATGAAGTAGAGGTTGCGAAAGAAGCAAACAGCATGAATGAGTTGGAAAAAGAAGAACAAAGCACAATCATTGCAGAAATAAGTGAAGGTGAGCCATTTCCTTTTTGACTTTGAGCGGTGACTCTGTTTTGAAAAAGGCGATAATGTACATAATAACCGCACCCGTATTCACAATTTGCCAATCAGTACCCTTGTCTACTGTCCTGATATCCTGTGTTATAATCCGTCAAATATTTGCGATCGCGCACGACTGGTCTAAACGCGTTACATGACTGAATATTACCCGACTAAAACTGGGGAATATCGGAGTGATATTCCCTAATTTTCAAAACCGCGTGGGTTGCGAAAAATATTTGAACGATAATAAACACAATAACCTCCATTTGCTCGGATATTTGTCCTTGGACATTATCTGTTCCTCAAAGCTCTCAGTTAGTCACTGACCTGGCCCCAGTTGTTCAAAGGTTGGATAACACTATCTACCAGATAAATCCCTTACCCATTGGAAAGCGATTCATACGTATTTTTAATAGCAAGATATAGCAGGCAAATGAAGTAGTAGTCACTAAGACTGAATATTTTGGACTGATTCCTCTGTGTCTGCTTACACAGATCTTTCAACAGAAAAGAAGGACGGTGATTCTAATGAAGAAAAGAGGCAAGATAACCGTGACATTCCTGTGGAGACTGGGCTCCAGGATTTTGAAAGGTGAAATTACTTATATTAAATTTTCCTTTGAAATCACCTGATCATTGAATGTTTGAATTTGTCGGATCATAACACGTTCTTTATTTTTGTTTTAACTAGGCCACCCTCAGGCAGAACAAATGGAATCCGTAAACTGGACATTGTGATGGGCGAGTCAAGAGAAAAAAGTAAAAGTAAAATAGAATCGACTTTACGAGAGCAAGAGGCCAGTGGATACGAGGAAGAACAAGCGAGTGAGCACGACAGCACATTATTGGATCTACGGCAAGAATATTCTAGAAAGAAACCTGCTCAAACGTTTGAAAACTGGCTGCAAATGAAACGATCGCAAGAGAAGACCAGACCTTGTACTGCGCCGGCGCAGAAGAGCAGGTTAGGAAAGACTATTGATCCAGAATCCTTTAAGAGATGGTTGAACAGCAAACGACTTCAGCGCACGCACACAAACTCCGAATCTTCGACTTCGTCCAACAGGAAGGCTTTCATTAGTTCTGGAGGCCTGACCTTTGATCGATGGCTTGAAACTAAGTTAGCAAAACGGCCTATGAGCGCTATGGGTTACGTCACAGAGTCACGTGATGATAATGCTTCGGGAGCGAGTAACAAAGTTCGAAAACAGATTACTTCCGGGAAACCCTTTGAACTGTGGCTGGCGGAGAAGAAAACAATTGCGCAATCCACCCATGACGAGGAAAACAACGACAAAGAAGACAAAAATGCGCCTAAACTGAGTGGAAAATCTTTCCACGAGTGGTTACAAGACAAAACCAAACAGAAGCAAATTGAGCTGGTGCAGAAAATGACGACAGAGAAAGAGCAGCAAAGACTGGCAGAGATTGATCAGTTGTCAAAATGGCTGAATCCACACTACAAGACATATGATGACTGGTTGGCGTTAAAAAACTATCAAGCCAGTCTACAACGCGTGCGAACACAAAACAAACCACACAAACAACAAGAGGAGATTCCTTTCGAAGAGAAACGAAAGGACGCGAAAGTTGTGTATAACATCTGGCAGACAATGAAGGCGCTTCAAGACCTAAGTGATGAAGAGAGAAAATATAATGAGATGAAAGCAAAGTGGGCCGCGAAGGAGCGGGAGAAAGAACAACTTAGAAGACTCAACATAGTGAATAAAGCTAAGAAACATAACTTTCTTGTAAAGCCGGCGTCAGCGAAGAGCTAGAGGACTCTGTCGTTCATGCATGTGTTTATTTCTGAGGAAACAATTGGTTTGGTCTCTCGGTTCTTTTGAATTTTCACTTCTTTACGAAGCGCTAGGAATGATGAATTACTGTAATGATTCGATTTAGCAGCCCTTTCCAATAAGCGCCCCCATACATGGTAGTGAAAGTGGCTTTTAAGATATTGACGGACTGATTCGCCGATCGACGAATAATTATGAAGTTTGCTTTCTGATCTGAACATAATACTGAACACTGTGACTGTCAGAACACTTCTCTGACAGTTCTGAAGTTAAAGGATCTGTAGTTGTTTTTCCTTTTTAAAAGTATTGTGCCTCAAAAAGAAGCGCCATATCCCTAATAAGCGCCCTTCTCCAATTAGCGCCTTTCCAAGTAACTTAGCGCCCTGGGCGCTAAATCGAATCATTACCATGCATGCCTTGTAAGGGCCGATTTACACGGTACGACTTTGTCGCATAAGACAAGCTTACGACAGACCTAAGACATGACTTTGGACCGTTTACACGGATACGACATTTTCACTTTCAAAATTAAATATGCAAAAGTTTGCACCGGGATTTTCGGAGCGAAAGTTCGAACAAACGGTAAACAGATATTTTAGCTATCCTGCACTTTGAAAAGACTTTCTAATGAGATATTTTTCGCTTTATCTGTTCAGTACTTTTCGAGAAACGACTTCGTGTGAATCAGTCAACAAGTTCGTCCGCCATTTTGATGCAAGAAAACTTTACCTTCGTCCCCTACTCAGTAGAAATTTGTCACAAAATACGTCATTTCCTATCGATTTCGGCTACGATTGTCGCAGCGTTTTAAAACATTTTTAAAAATCCTACGACTTTTTTTTTTGACGTACACGACAGTCGTAAGCGAGTTGTAGATTTGATTTACACGAAACAATTCATGTCGCAGGCCTGTCGTAAGCTTGTCGCATGCGACAAAGTCGTACCGTGTAAATCGGCCCTAAAACTGATAAGAACTTGCCACGATTTGATCGACTGTTACTAAATTAACCTCATTTTAGAAGACGTTGTCAAAAAGAAGGTTGTTGGAATACAAATATCAAAAACAACATTTCTGAGTTAGATTGAAGTAAAAATATATTTATAAATGAAAGTTTATAATTAAAAATCAGAATATATTTTAATAAAAAGAGATGAATATTGTTCATAATTGTTTCCAATTCTGTTATCAGTCTGTCAAACGTATCCAGGCCTCAAACACAGTGTAAAGAACCTGAAAACCGGCAGACCCAATCAAGAATCAAAGAGGGCTCAATGGAGAAGTCTATTTAATACTATATTAAAATTAAGACATAATGATCAAGATATTCCTTGTTTCCTTTAATTCGTTTAAACCAAGAGACTATTGTCTCTCTATAGTCTCTACATTCCTTTGACAACCACGGGGATAGCATAAATGCAAGTCGGGTTTCATTTAGTGGCAGGAAACTGATATGAAAAAGTGTTTTTGGTACATTTGTACAACGGGGCTTAGTTAGATACCGTTGCCAAGCTGAGGAATATCGTTCTTTAGCCGGAATAATACTGATACCAGTATACCAACCCAGTGGATAGTGCTTTTCTCGCTTTCTGATTGGCTAGTCTTACTCAGTATACGTTTTGCTATTCACCTCCACTTTAGGGAATAATTGTTAACTAGCCACTCCCACCGCGAGGGATAATAGTTAAATTATTTATGGCAGAGACTGTTGTTCTCGTATTAATAAAAATGTCGTTTGGTTTTCAACGAAAAGACAAAAAACTCTTATAATTTCTCGAAGACACAAGTTCCCCTAGAATGACAGACCAGATAAACATTAAATAGCGCAACCCAACATTAAAGAACAGAGCTTTAAAAGCAGTCCAGACAGCGCCTAAAACATCCTTGGATACTTGCTGTAAGCAACTGATTAATAGAAATACAAATTATATATAATCTTCTTCTAAACGTTTCTCATTCAATTTTGCATTGCAAGTTTAATTCCTGCTTTTACCTAAATTGTTTACTTAAGAATTAACCCATGGAGTTGATGTTGGCAGGTATTTTCCGTTAGTTGCCGTGACATTACCTTTTAAAATGTTTCACAATCGGATGAAGCAAAACAATTAATGTTAAGTGCACTGTTTTGAGTACAAATATAAAATCCCGAGGGTTGCAGCAGTTGTCACTTTCATTTCTCAAGCACAAGGTTTCATGTTTATAAAAAAACCGAAATAAATTTCTTTTGGAAAATTAACACACTGCTCCATAACCTCTTCCAAAACGACCACATTATATACAAAACTGACCTTTTGCAAATGAAGGTTAAAGTGATTCGGTCGCTAATTCTATTTCAAGAGATACTTTTAAATGTCGCGGTTTTTGCCGTTAATGAGAACTCTTTATCTCGATCGGCCTACTTCACGACTCGGCAAAACAAGAAGCTTATGGGCCACGTTGTTCAACGGTTTGAATCTCTCAGTTTGATGTCCTGCAGCCATTCATGCATGAGAAGCACATGGTGTTCTTCTACAAACTTCGAGCAGCTAACTGGGCGTGGTGATAAAGGAACTTGTGAACTAAACAAGCACGATATCTCGATTGTCAACGAAGACAGCAACTTTCGAGAACGACAAGGCAGTACCTTCTCGTTGTATCTCAAGGTAATCATATAAGGTGCTTACTTGCTGTAGCATGGATTTCTCTCTCGAAACGAAAATTAGAAAAATATTTTTTAGTTTTATTCGTTCAATTCTTGCTCCTGTTTCTGATTTTTCGTTTGTCTGTTTGCTGTTAGGGCTGCCTCATGACTGGATGCGTCAATGGTGGTTCCTGTTTGTTCGATGAGAAGAAAGACACGTTTTCATGTTCATGCAAGCAACCGTGGACTGGAGAAGAATGTGGAGTAAGAACGGGTAAGAAGACGGATGATTCTATTGAATTGATGTCAAATTGTAGGATAGGATACTGTGGAGACCATACAATAAAATTATTGCCGGGGATTCCTCCATATATCAATTCACTCATGTAGGTAGACTGAAACGAGTTGTATTTCTCTCTCTCTTTTTTTTTGGCAAACGCGGGCGGTGTTCAACATAAGCTTCATTAAGACACGAGCCAAAGAAACGCATTGAGTCACATGGGTAGGATTGGCCGCAGAGTGCAGAAATAGCAGTAACTCTCAAATTAACGAAGTACTTGGAGCCCTAATGCTAATGTCGTTTCGTTACAAACTTACACCATTTCGGCGTTTTTTCAAATTAAAATACTCGAATAAAGGAATTTAATTAGGCCGAGATGCAGTTGGTGATTATTTCTCTTTGAGTTGAAGGCGAAAGCTTGTCGCTTTGTCAATGAATGGCTAAAAACCTCATTACACAAGTCATTACACATTGAATAAGAAGTTTCTATTTTCCTAATGGTGTTTCATCTGAGGACAAGTATTGATTTAATAACGCAAATCAATAACAAGACAGGTGATTAAGAACTTCCACTGTCAAAATTTAGCATGGTTCCATTTCCGCCACTTCGAAAAGACCGGTTTTGTCAATAGAAACATTTATTTTTCATCAAATAAAGTGAAACTGTTGATCTGCATCTGCGGGTGAAATGAAACACTAGGCTATTGATCAACTTTAAGTTGATAAAGGTGAATTTGTCGCAGTGGTAAGTTTGTGAGATTTTTGGGACTTGCGAGGTTATACAATAATCCTTACACACGCGCCATTTTTTATCTTTTTTTTTCAGAACTTGAGTTTTACTTCACCACACTTAACACTACTGGCAAGGAAGGTCCAACATCAAATGCCGGGTACAAAGGCTCCTCCCTTGAAAATATAAACGTGACAAATGGTCTGCAAGAATGGAGTGCACCCTTAACTGGCTACTACTACGTTGACATGTGCGGTGCCTCAGGCGGTGGATCGTACGGGGGTAAAGGGGCGAGGGTAAATGGTACAGTGCATCTTCAGGAGGGAACCAAACTGATTGTGTTAGTGGGTCAGCGAGGTGCTGAACGTCCTCCGCAATACAGAAGTGGTGCTGGTGGGGGATCATTTGTGTTTTTTCCTACCAACAGTACCCCTCTCAGTATTGCTGGCGGGGGTGGAGGGGAGCATTATAAAAGAGACGGCGGACCAGGACAAGCGGGTGAAGCTGAAGGATTGATGCTTGGCACCGTTGGACAGGGCGGCCGGTTGATTTGTGTTGAACCATGTTATTGGTGGGTATTAGATGAAGGACACAGTGGCGGAGGATTCAGTGGTAATGGTGAATGCTTCAGTCACAGCCAGGTAATCATGCAGTGCAACGAAGAGGCAGCCAAATCATTTCTAAACGGTGGAAGAGGCGGATCTCAAGATTATCTTGACTGCTGCGATGGCGGGTTTGGTGGAGGTGGAGCATCATCTGATTATGTACCAGGGGGAGGGGGAGGATACTCTGGAGGAAGTGTTAACGGAAGCTTTGCGGATATCTTCATATCAGGCGGTGGCGGTTCGTATGTTCCCAGTGAAACGTGGAATGCGGAGACAGGAGCATGCGACAAAGGGGATGGGTACGTCACATTTCGCTTCTTGAGTTATACCACGCCTTGAACCTTTCACAGACTTTCATGGATTTGGAATGGAAACATAAATACATGTAGTGACAGAATAACAAAGATAATGATGATCAAAGATTGAGAACCGAACCTGTAACTTATAGAAGTTAAATGAGTTTCAGTTAAATATATTATAAAATTCAGCTCTTTGAGGTTCTTATTAACACTTGAATAAAAGCTATAATAATGCAAAAGTCTCTATAACAATCACCCTTGAGCAGGATTATTTCGATTAGAGTAAATTGTGTGCTTATCGGTGTACAGTTGTAACTTAAACCCTGCGGTTTAAAACTGATGAAAGAGCAAACAGATCGATAACACAGTTTCAATTTACGTTCTAATTTAAAATTTTTCACGCATGTCTAAACCTGCGCTCTCTGCAGAACAAGAACCTGAAATGACCAAAGTCTGCATTGTCTAGAGAACGTGAACCACGACGGTTGCATTGATTACAAATGTGTCACTGAGAAATGAGATGATGTGCAGGACTGACGAAAAAAATGGATATCGGTGTTCACAGATCGATTAAGTTTGATGAATAATAATCTTGACACGAATCGAGCTCCCCTCAATTTGGAATTTTACATGTTTAGCCCGAGCAAGGTTTAAGAGCCAAAAGTATCCTGGACATATCCGGAAAAATCGTAAGTAAAATATACTAAATTCAATTTTACTAGGCAGATAGTCCTTGGTGTCGCCGTCGTCATTGCTTAAGCTCCCATTTATATGTGAGGTCTTTCATCCTAAGAGGCTGCTTTTGTGGTTTGCTCATGTTTCATCCCAAGAACCAAGAAGGATCGATCGCAGATGACAGATTGTGTAAAAAAGCCGTAAACAATAATTGCAGCTCGTCGTCAAGGTTCTTTTTTGACTAAACTATAAAGTCGTCAAGCGTTTCGGTACTGAAGTTTGTCCCTCCTGCTGGAACAATCTCGTTTACGTTACTTCGTCGATGCAATACCTTTTCATCCTTATACTCATAACTACACCGTGCCAATCGTTTACATCTTCTTCTTCATGATTAGTATAGCTGATGGTTTTGAACACTTAACGTCCATCGTCATCAATCGCGGGCTTGAACACTCGGTGGGTTGATACTCGGGCGCTTACCCGTTCCAAACCAAGTTATAATTATATTTCTTTTTCCATACCTTCCAATTCCCGAGGATCTCGCTACTTAATTGACCTCAGATCAAATCGAAATGTTGCGGAGGCAATGATATCTGGTGAAATAACATTGTAGATTGCAATGCTTTCGGCGGCGAGGCGCCGGAGGTTTCTTTCGCTAGTAAGCATTCGCAGACGGTATACGTTGCCGACGAATTTGAAGTACCCTTTCGCAGCAACATGTAATATTAGATGGCAGAGAGAACCCCATCAATCAAGGCTTAATCCGGCTACTGTACCTCAAGATACAAATGATGAACGCGTATATTAGATTATGAAATAGCATAAATTACATAGCCGTTATAGAACATAAGCGCTCATATAAAGAATGTTTGGAAAATTAACATATTATAACCTTGGAAGGTGTGTACGCCATTTTAAATAATCAAATCAAGCCAATGTCTGAAACTCGTTTGTCCGGTTTGACCATGACGTCAGTGTATTCTCATTGGCTCACATCCAAGCCTTTGTTGTTTCGCTTTATAAATGCGACACCACCCGGATGGTTGGACGGCTAGTTAATTCCACCACAATGTACATATCTGTCCTCATCTCTGTTAATCTCTCTTAAAGCAATACCTCCTGCCCTGAGTAGATAGTGAAGTATTCTACCTCAACTCCCCCTCCCCACGAATATCAATTATATAATCAACCACTCTATCTCAACTCCCCCATTATCCCTCACGCCTGCATTTCATTAATGCCCCCTTCATATACCTTCACATCCTACATCTCATTAATCCTCCCTTCCACATATACCCTTGTATCTCTTAATGCTCTTCCTTGGCCTCTTGTTACGAGCGTGTCGTTAGACCCGGTCGCCTTTTGGGGCTGTACTGGGCTAACCTCGCGCACGCCTCGTTTTTAGTGTATTTTAATTAGTACTGTTTTATCTTAGCATTTCCATTCCCCTTTTTCTTGGATGGCTTTCACGCTCTCAGTCCTGGTCACCTTTGTTGATTGTACTGGGCTGGGCTTCGCGTACTTCCATCTCTTCTGTTTTTCGACTTGTCTTTCTTTCTCTAGCTCCTTGATCGAGCGTGTCTCTAGACCTCGTCTCCTCTTGGGGTTGTACTGGATTAATCTCTGGCAGGTCTCGTTTTTAATGGTTTTAATTGAAGTCGTTTAAATTTTTAGCGGTTTCTTCTCGCCTCTTGCTCTTTAATGACGAGCATGTCTTTAGACCTGGTCGCCTTTTGGGGTTGTACTGGGCTACCCTCGGCACGTCTCATCTTCATCGCCTTTTCTCTCCAGTCTTTTTACCCTCCCCCTGTTGGTAAGGCGAGGTTCGACTCATCCGCGAAGTTGACAGCCGGCCTCGTTTAGAGGGTGCCCCCTTCACCTTGGCGGTTCATTCCTCTCTTTTTACCTCTCGTTTTTAAATGGAAGGTGGACATTGTACCTTGTCCATCGAACCGCCTCAAATATAAAAAAATTCACACAGCCTACATCTCATTGATCCCCCACATATNTACAAATTATATATAATCTTCTTCTAAACGTTTCTCATTCAATTTTGCATTGCAAGTTTAATTCCTGCTTTTACCTAAATTGTTTACTTAAGAATTAACCCATGGAGTTGATGTTGGCAGGTATTTTCCGTTAGTTGCCGTGACATTACCTTTTAAAATGTTTCACAATCGGATGAAGCAAAACAATTAATGTTAAGTGCACTGTTTTGAGTACAAATATAAAATCCCGAGGGTTGCAGCAGTTGTCACTTTCATTTCTCAAGCACAAGGTTTCATGTTTATAAAAAAACCGAAATAAATTTCTTTTGGAAAATTAACACACTGCTCCATAACCTCTTCCAAAACGACCACATTATATACAAAACTGACCTTTTGCAAATGAAGGTTAAAGTGATTCGGTCGCTAATTCTATTTCAAGAGATACTTTTAAATGTCGCGGTTTTTGCCGTTAATGAGAACTCTTTATCTCGATCGGCCTACTTCACGACTCGGCAAAACAAGAAGCTTATGGGCCACGTTGTTCAACGGTTTGAATCTCTCAGTTTGATGTCCTGCAGCCATTCATGCATGAGAAGCACATGGTGTTCTTCTACAAACTTCGAGCAGCTAACTGGGCGTGGTGATAAAGGAACTTGTGAACTAAACAAGCACGATATCTCGATTGTCAACGAAGACAGCAACTTTCGAGAACGACAAGGCAGTACCTTCTCGTTGTATCTCAAGGTAATCATATAGGGTGCTTACTTGCTGTAGCATGGATTTCTCTCTCGAAACGAAAATTAGAAAAATATTTTTTAGTTTTATTCGTTCAATTCTTGCTCCTGTTTCTGATTTTTCGTTTGTCTGTTTGCTGTTAGGGCTGCCTCATGACTGGATGCGTCAATGGTGGTTCCTGTTTGTTCGATGAGAAGAAAGACACGTTTTCATGTTCATGCAAGCAACCGTGGACTGGAGAAGAATGTGGAGTAAGAACGGGTAAGAAGACGGATGATTCTATTGAATTGATGTCAAATTGTAGGATAGGATACTGTGGAGACCATACAATAAAATTATTGCCGGGGATTCCTCCATATATCAATTCACTCATGTAGGTAGACTGAAACGAGTTGTATTTCTCTCTCTCTTTTTTTTTGGCAAACGCGGGCGGTGTTCAACATAAGCTTCATTAAGACACGAGCCAAAGAAACGCATTGAGTCACATGGGTAGGATTGGCCGCAGAGTGCAGAAATAGCAGTAACTCTCAAATTAACGAAGTACTTGGAGCCCTAATGCTAATGTCGTTTCGTTACAAACTTACACCATTTCGGCGTTTTTTCAAATTAAAATACTCGAATAAAGGAATTTAATTAGGCCGAGATGCAGTTGGTGATTATTTCTCTTTGAGTTGAAGGCGAAAGCTTGTCGCTTTGTCAATGAATGGCTAAAAACCTCATTACACAAGTCATTACACATTGAATAAGAAGTTTCTATTTTCCTAATGGTGTTTCATCTGAGGACAAGTATTGATTTAATAACGCAAATCAATAACAAGACAGGTGATTAAGAACTTCCACTGTCAAAATTTAGCATGGTTCCATTTCCGCCACTTCGAAAAGACCGGTTTTGTCAATAGAAACATTTATTTTTCATCAAATAAAGTGAAACTGTTGATCTGCATCTGCGGGTGAAATGAAACACTAGGCTATTGATCAACTTTAAGTTGATAAAGGTGAATTTGTCGCAGTGGTAAGTTTGTGAGATTTTTGGGACTTGCGAGGTTATACAATAATCCTTACACACGCGCCATTTTTTATCTTTTTTTTTCAGAACTTGAGTTTTACTTCACCACACTTAACACTACTGGCAAGGAAGGTCCAACATCAAATGCCGGGTACAAAGGCTCCTCCCTTGAAAATATAAACGTGACAAATGGTCTGCAAGAATGGAGTGCACCCTTAACTGGCTACTACTACGTTGACATGTGCGGTGCCTCAGGCGGTGGATCGTACGGGGGTAAAGGGGCGAGGGTAAATGGTACAGTGCATCTTCAGGAGGGAACCAAACTGATTGTGTTAGTGGGTCAGCGAGGTGCTGAACGTCCTCCGCAATACAGAAGTGGTGCTGGTGGGGGATCATTTGTGTTTTTTCCTACCAACAGTACCCCTCTCAGTATTGCTGGCGGGGGTGGAGGGGAGCATTATAAAAGAGACGGCGGACCAGGACAAGCGGGTGAAGCTGAAGGATTGATGCTTGGCACCGTTGGACAGGGCGGCCGGTTGATTTGTGTTGAACCATGTTATTGGTGGGTATTAGATGAAGGACACAGTGGCGGAGGATTCAGTGGTAATGGTGAATGCTTCAGTCACAGCCAGGTAATCATGCAGTGCAACGAAGAGGCAGCCAAATCATTTCTAAACGGTGGAAGAGGCGGATCTCAAGATTATCTTGACTGCTGCGATGGCGGGTTTGGTGGAGGTGGAGCATCATCTGATTATGTACCAGGGGGAGGGGGAGGATACTCTGGAGGAAGTGTTAACGGAAGCTTTGCGGATATCTTCATATCAGGCGGTGGCGGTTCGTATGTTCCCAGTGAAACGTGGAATGCGGAGACAGGAGCATGCGACAAAGGGGATGGGTACGTCACATTTCGCTTCTTGAGTTATACCACGCCTTGAACCTTTCACAGACTTTCATGGATTTGGAATGGAAACATAAATACATGTAGTGACAGAATAACAAAGATAATGATGATCAAAGATTGAGAACCGAACCTGTAACTTATAGAAGTTAAATGAGTTTCAGTTAAATATATTATAAAATTCAGCTCTTTGAGGTTCTTATTAACACTTGAATAAAAGCTATAATAATGCAAAAGTCTCTATAACAATCACCCTTGAGCAGGATTATTTCGATTAGAGTAAATTGTGTGCTTATCGGTGTACAGTTGTAACTTAAACCCTGCGGTTTAAAACTGATGAAAGAGCAAACAGATCGATAACACAGTTTCAATTTACGTTCTAATTTAAAATTTTTCACGCATGTCTAAACCTGCGCTCTCTGCAGAACAAGAACCTGAAATGACCAAAGTCTGCATTGTCTAGAGAACGTGAACCACGACGGTTGCATTGATTACAAATGTGTCACTGAGAAATGAGATGATGTGCAGGACTGACGAAAAAAATGGATATCGGTGTTCACAGATCGATTAAGTTTGATGAATAATAATCTTGACACGAATCGAGCTCCCCTCAATTTGGAATTTTACATATTTAGCCCGAGCAAGGTTTAAGAGCCAAAAGTATCCTGGACATATCCGGAAAAATCGTAAGTAAAATATACTAAATTCAATTTTACTAGGCAGATAGTCCTTGGTGTCGCCGTCGTCATTGCTTAAGCTCCCATTTATATGTGAGGTCTTTCATCCTAAGAGGCTGCTTTTGTGGTTTGCTCATGTTTCATCCCAAGAACCAAGAAGGATCGATCGCAGATGACAGATTGTGTAAAAAAGCCGTAAACAATAATTGCAGCTCGTCGTCAAGGTTCTTTTTTGACTAAACTATAAAGTCGTCAAGCGTTTCGGTACTGAAGTTTGTCCCTCCTGCTGGAACAATCTCGTTTACGTTACTTCGTCGATGCAATACCTTTTCATCCTTATACTCATAACTACACCGTGCCAATCGTTTACATCTTCTTCTTCATGATTAGTATAGCTGATGGTTTTGAACACTTAACGTCCATCGTCATCAATCGCGGGCTTGAACACTCGGTGGGTTGATACTCGGGCGCTTACCCGTTCCAAACCAAGTTATAATTATATTTCTTTTTCCATACCTTCCAATTCCCGAGGATCTCGCTACTTAATTGACCTCAGATCAAATCGAAATGTTGCGGAGGCAATGATATCTGGTGAAATAACATTGTAGATTGCAATGCTTTCGGCGGCGAGGCGCCGGAGGTTTCTTTCGCTAGTAAGCATTCGCAGACGGTATACGTTGCCGACGAATTTGAAGTACCCTTTCGCAGCAACATGTAATATTAGATGGCAGAGAGAACCCCATCAATCAAGGCTTAATCCGGCTACTGTACCTCAAGATACAAATGATGAACGCGTATATTAGATTATGAAATAGCATAAATTACATAGCCGTTATAGAACATAAGCGCTCATATAAAGAATGTTTGGAAAATTAACATATTATAACCTTGGAAGGTGTGTACGCCATTTTAAATAATCAAATCAAGCCAATGTCTGAAACTCGTTTGTCCGGTTTGACCATGACGTCAGTGTATTCTCATTGGCTCACATCCAAGCCTTTGTTGTTTCGCTTTATAAATGCGACACCACCCGGATGGTTGGACGGCTAGTTAATTCCACCACAATGTACATATCTGTCCTCATCTCTGTTAATCTCTCTTAAAGCAATACCTCCTGCCCTGAGTAGATAGTGAAGTATTCTACCTCAACTCCCCCTCCCCACGAATATCAATTATATAATCAACCACTCTATCTCAACTCCCCCATTATCCCTCACGCCTGCATTTCATTAATGCCCCCTTCATATACCTTCACATCCTACATCTCATTAATCCTCCCTTCCACATATACCCTTGTATCTCTTAATGCTCTTCCTTGGCCTCTTGTTACGAGCGTGTCGTTAGACCCGGTCGCCTTTTGGGGCTGTACTGGGCTAACCTCGCGCACGCCTCGTTTTTAGTGTATTTTAATTAGTACTGTTTTATCTTAGCATTTCCATTCCCCTTTTTCTTGGATGGCTTTCACGCTCTCAGTCCTGGTCACCTTTGTTGATTGTACTGGGCTGGGCTTCGCGTACTTCCATCTCTTCTGTTTTTCGACTTGTCTTTCTTTCTCTAGCTCCTTGATCGAGCGTGTCTCTAGACCTCGTCTCCTCTTGGGGTTGTACTGGATTAATCTCTGGCAGGTCTCGTTTTTAATGGTTTTAATTGAAGTCGTTTAAATTTTTAGCGGTTTCTTCTCGCCTCTTGCTCTTTAATGACGAGCATGTCTTTAGACCTGGTCGCCTTTTGGGGTTGTACTGGGCTACCCTCGGCACGTCTCATCTTCATCGCCTTTTCTCTCCAGTCTTTTTACCCTCCCCCTGTTGGTAAGGCGAGGTTCGACTCATCCGCGAAGTTGACAGCCGGCCTCGTTTAGAGGGTGCCCCCTTCACCTTGGCGGTTCATTCCTCTCTTTTTACCTCTCGTTTTTAAATGGAAGGTGGACATTGTACCTTGTCCATCGAACCGCCTCAAATATAAAAAAATTCACACAGCCTACATCTCATTGATCCCCCACATATGCCCTGGCTGGATACGGTGCTTCTACGCTGCAAATGGCCGAGTCTTGGCCTGTTGAGGTGCGTGCATCTTGATCTTATCATCGCTGTCTTTTAAGACAGGGGTCTTAACAGAATCTGTATTCACTTAGCCTTTTATCAATTAACTGACCTATTGAAAGTAGAATTAGAGAATATAATTGAAAAACGCCATGTGCTTTGAGACGGTTAGCAATCAATTTGATGGTTATTATAGTGAAATACGACATGATTTTTTACCTATTTATCGCATAGTAGCCTGAAAATCGTAACGTATTACGAGATCTGCATTCACTTAGGTTTCAATTGGTGTATTAAATTTAGAGATCTGTTGAGATGTACTGGGGAAAAATATTATTTACATAACACGGTTAGCATTCAGTTGGGAATTTAAAAGATACATGGCTCGTAATGCAAGTCAATCTTGGGAACATTTCCTGAAATGCTTGAAAACCTTTGGTATGCATGCAACCTCTACAGGAAAAGGTTTCGATAAAAGGGAGAAAATTCTAAAAAATGTACCCCGTGTGAGGATCGAACTCACGACCTTCAGATTTCTAATTGAGATTATGAGACTGACGCGCTGCCTACTGCACTAACGAGGCACCTGTGGGATTTGCTCTGAAACTTAGCATGGTCTTCATTAGCGACAAGTAACTCGGAACTCACACTTCGATTGGCTATTAAGTTGAGATATTTAGCGTGAAATTTTGAGTTCAAAGTAAGGCTTTTATACCCCTCAATTCTATTAGGAAATGTGTTGTAATATGCTGGTCATCTTGGCACTTACCTCTCGCACTTAGGCGTGGTTTGCCCATATGTGCGACGAGATGACTTTCAATAATTAAGTAGGTTGTCCTTTGTTGTCAGCCGGTGATGCAGTTTCAGTCAGAGTCGTTTAACTTGAAAAAAAATCTCAGTCACCCTATTACAAATTATACGGAACAATTTGAGTCTAGTTTTTGCCTATTGTCAATTGAAATGGCTGTAAACTGGATCATTTCATTTTATGTCGGTTTGGATTAATAACCTTCTCTTTAAAAAAACTGCATCTGATAAGCCAGAGACCAAAACTGTGCATTGTTATGGCGCCAAAGAGGAATGGTGATCAACTGCAATTCTCAGTATGATCAGAATTTAGAAGTTCACAATCACAACTGATACAGGTTTTATTGTCAAGATAATATCTATAATGTACACTGCTGGTATCAGAACGCCCGGTTAGCTCAGTCGGTAGAGCATCAGGCTTTTAATCTGAGGGTCATGGGTTCAAGTCCCATATTGAGGGGGGCGAAGAGGTTTGCGGATCGACGGATTTGGCTTAACGGATTACGGATTTTTGCCATAAATTGAACGATGTTAATGTTTTACCACTTTATTTTGCCGCTTTATTTCTTTTATCGGAAGAGGCTCGATTATTTAAATAGTCAAGCTTGCTTTGGCACTTAATGGTTAAAAATCAGAACACATTTTAATAAAAAAAGAGATGAGAATTATTCCTAATTGTTTCCAACTCTGTAATCAGTCTGTCAAACGTATCCAGGCCTCAAACACAGTGAAAAGAATCTTAATACCAGTAGACTCAATCAAGAATCAAGGAGGAGGGCTAAATGGAAAAGTCTCTTTGATACCATTTAAAAATTAAAATCTAATGATCGATTGAAAGATATTTCTTGTTTCCTTTTATTAAGATAATCGAGAGA